ATATAACTTAAAAAGAGAGAGAGAGTGTGTGTGTGTGTGTGAGAGTGAGAGATATAAATCACATTATCAGTTAGTGAAGACTAACTGTCCCACTATGGCTCCTTTCCTCAATTGACGCATCTTGATCCATATTCTTTTCTCTTAGGCCTATTCATACATGTAACGCCCATAGATCCGGGCTAGTCAATTTAGAGACAATGAGCATAAAAAAAATGAGTTTTGATGGAAGATTATTTAGAAGGATTAATCTTAAGCATTTTATAGTATATGTTACAAGGGTTCCGTACATATAAAGAACGCCGAAATCTGAGTTATAACGAAGAAGTTATGGCCCGTCGAAGTTTTTCGGCAAAACCGGCACGACACAACGCGACGTAAATAGTGAATTTATGATAGAAGACTTTTTAGCCTTATCTATCTAAACAAAAGTCGTAGTATACGTTAAACCGAGAGTGTACATATAAAGAACGCCCAAATCTGACTTCATATGAGGAAGTTATGATTTTTCTAATATTTGGCATAACAATGCACAACCCGGAATTCGAATTTTAGATCGAGCGGTTTTTGGCCAACGCAACCTAAATGAGAATTGAAGATCTCATTAATAGGAACTCAACGACAAAAAGACAGACGAAAACGGAGTCCGTATCTAAAAGTTATGAATTTTACGCGGACATTAAAAGTGTAATCACCTCCTACTGTTAAATTTAAGATCGGTCGAGAATTAGCCGACGAAGTAAAAGGAAAGTTGTAGATTTTATTTTTACCTACGCGTGGATATAAATAACGTCAAAAACGAAGCTCGTATGCGAAAGTTATGGATGAAGCTTAGTCTCTACTTTTCGAGTGCGGCGAATTCGATACAGTTTTGTAAATCCGAGATAGAATAAGAATTAGCCAACGGGGTCTAAATGAAAGTTGTAGTACTCGTAAATACCAATGCGTTAATATAAATAACGTCGGAAACGGAGATTGTATGCGAAAGATATGGACGAAGGTTAGTCGCTACTCTTCGTGCGCGATAAATACGATACAGTTTTTGTAAATTTGAGATAGAAGGAGAATTAGCCGACGGGGTCTAAATGAAAGTTGTAGTACTCGTAAATACCAAGGTTGGATATAAAGAACATAGA